AAGGAAAAAGTTTGGTGATATGTAAATGTCGATGTTTAAGGAAAAAGTTTGGTGATATATTAGAGAGCCAAGAGAAGGTGTGGGACAGTAATTTAGTAAAAACAATAATGGATAGAAGTTTCAATTTTAAAAAAAATACAGGCTAAGTACTTGATTGTCAAGATAAAATATTCCATTTAAATGACAACTTAAAGCAAGATACTAAACAGCTGTGGTGAGGGGTGGGACGTTTGAGTTGGTGGCATGTTGTTTTTTTTTAATTATTATTTTTAAAAATAAATCTTGGTTGTATTTAACAAAAATAATTCAAACTAATAAAGAACTTACTCTAATAATAGGATAGTAAGGATCAAATAAATGTTGACCCTGTCTAAAGGATTGTGAATCTACAAACTAATGTTTTTAGGCACTTCTCTGTGCTGCTCAAACTTACAAATTGCTGGCGCGGGAAGAAGTTTTTAATAAAGTTTCGCCTTATAGTATCATGTTTTAGGCGGATATGTTAAAATTTCGGTCAAAAATTACAGGAATAAAGTGTTGTCTCCCTTCTCCAATTTCTCACCACTCTCACATGGATATAGACACACACACAGCTTTCTCCATCTCTCTACACACACACACACCTGAACCATGGAAGAAGAGATTTATCCATCTCTCTAGCAACACAATACTAAATCCTCTAGAGCTCACACCCACCCCCACACTTTCTCACCCCCCCCCCTCTTCTCCCTTCCCCTTCTCCGTTTGATTCACCTTATTGAAAGTTAAGGTAGGATTTAATTAGGACAGCCGTGCCGGCGAAGAAGAATATTTCTAATAGAACTAATAACCAGCTCCCCCTCCCCTCCCCTCCCCGACCCCACCGGCCATAAGATGAGTACGTCTGGCTGACGATATCTCATGGCCGAAGAAATCAATAGCAGCTGTAAATGTATGGGTGATATGATACCTCCCCACCGAGCCGGTTCTTACATTAGATTCAATGGTGCACGTAGTCTGTAGACCAGGGCTAAGATTGATAGCCAGAGTAGGACTGGGATCAGTGGTCACATGACTACAAGCCAACCAACATTTAGCTGATGAGAGAACCTTGTATTTCAGCTGGTCACACGGCTACAAGTTAGACAACCAACATTTAGCTGGTGAGAGAACCTTGTATTTCAGCTGGTCACATGACTACAAGTTAGACAACCAACATTTAGCTGGTGAGAGAACCTTGTATTTCAGCTGGTCACATGACTACAAGTTAGCCAACCAACATTTAGCTGATGAGAGAACCTTGTATTTCAGCTGGTCACATGACTACAAGTTAGGCAACCAACATTTAGCTGATGAGAGAACCTTGTATTTCAGCTGGTCACACGGCTACAAGTTAGCCAACCAACATTTAGCTGATGAGAGAACCTTGTATTTCAGCTGGTCACATGACTACAAGTTAGCCAACCAACATTTAGCTGATGAGAGAACCTTGTATTTCAGCTGGTCACATGACTACAAGTTAGGCAACCAACATTTAGCTGATGAGAGAACCTTGTATTTCAGCTGGTCACACGGCTACAAGTTAGACAACCAACATTTAGCTGATGAGAGAACCTTGTATTTCAGCTGGTCACATGACTACAAGTTAGCCAACCAACATTTAGCTGATGAGAGAACCTTGTATTTCAGCTGGTCACATGACTACAAGTTAGCCAACCAACATTTAGCTGATGAGAGAACCTTGTATATCAGCTGGTCACATGACTACAAGTTAGCCAACCAACATTTAGCTGATGAGAGAACCTTATATTTCAGCTGGTCACATGACTACAAGTTAGCCAACCAACATTTAGCTGATGAGAGAACCTTGTATTTCAGCTGGTCACATGACCGTTGACTTTATTTTCGACACCGGTAAAAAATGCTTTCAAGAACTTCTAGACTTCAGAGTTTTTATTGGAACCAATGCATATATATATATATATATATATATATATATATATATATATATATATATATATATATATATATATATATATATACACACTGCTAATCCACTGCACAACATAGGTCCAACTTAAAATCCCACATTTGGATTGAGAGACAAGACACAACCAATATAGTCACAGACCCCACACTGCAGTATGAGTAAACTTTAACTTGGAATGGTCAAGCCCAATACATGGGATGTTTATAAATCAGCAAGCCAATCAATTCTCGTTAAAGCTAATCACTAGCAGTATGAACAGAAAAAAATCATGTGGCCGAGAAAGTATAAAACATGAATGATTAGCCCGCCTAAAAGTTTCAAGCGATGTTGAGAACTGAGGCCATTATTGCTGAGCTATGTCTCCCGCCCAGCTAAGAGAAGAGCCACTCCATCAATTGTAAATAACAAACCTTGTCTAATGGACACAATGGAAAAAAATAGACAACTCTCTAATTACCTAATTAACATAAATGTCGTGCTTATTTCATTAAAGAATCTCGGAGCAAACATAATGACATAATGACCGGAGAATCGTCAAGTATTTAGATGTTTCTGAGAGCTTTATATAGCATGTTGTGATAAAGCACAATATAGCATACAGAACTCGATATAGCATACATGTTGTGATAAAGCACAATATAGCATACATTTAGCTTAAGTCATACAGCACAATGTAGCATACATTCAACTATACCACACACGCAGTGTAAATTTGTGTTACTTAGATTCAAAATAGATCTAGAATCTATTTGTGGCCAACATTTCCATTGTGAGATTAAAAGATCTATTTTATTTCACACAAGTTTCTAGATAATAATCTGTGTAAAATCCTCATGCGTTTGATGAGAACATTTCCCACCAAAACAATTTGTAATTTCCTGTTGGACTAGATAGACTAGAATTTTGGTGTTGTCATTGTGGGATTTCTGTCACGGGAAGTTGACGGCGGTTGCTAGGTGTTTGAACAATGGCGGAGACAGCAAGGGAAACTACTCTAATCAAGTAATGGAGGCAAGAAAATATTGGAAGCCCGGCATGCTGGGAATGGTGCCGTTTTATTCAGTTGATCAGTTTAGGTGGTGGCAGTGTTTTCAAATGGGAGAGAATAATAAGGACCTCTTTAATTAGCATAGCAGAAGTTCGTCCTACTGACACAATTGATAGTTCGTCCTACTGACACAATTGATAGTTCGTCCTACTGAGACAGTTGATGACGAAAGTCTGTGCTACTGAGACAGTTGATGACGAAAGTCTGTGCTACTGAGACAGATGATAACGAAAGTCTGTGCTACTGAGACAGTTGATGACGAAAGTCTGTGTTACTGAGACAGTTGATGACGAAAGTCTGTGCTACTGAGACAGATGATAACGAAAGTCTGTGCTACTGAGACAGATAATAACGAAAGTCTGTGCTACTGAGACAGTTGATGACGAAAGTCTGTGCTACTGAGACAGATGATGACGAAAGTCTGTGCTACTGAGACAGATGATGACGAAAGTCTGTGCTACTGAGACAGATGATGACGAAGGTCTGTGCTACTGAGACAGATGATGACGAAAGTCTGTGCTACTGAGACAGATGATGACGAAAGTCTGAGACAGGTGATGACGAAAGTCTGTGCTACTGAGACAGTTGATGACGAAAGTCTGTGCTACTGACACAATTGATAAAGAAAGTCTGTGCTACTGAGACAGTTGATGACGAAAGTCTGAGACAGTTGATGACGAAAGTCTGTGCTACTGACACAATTGATAAAGAAAGTCTGTGCTACTAAGACAGATGATGACGAAAGTCTGTGCTACTGAGACAGCTGATAACGAAAGTCTGTGCTACTGAGACAGTTGATGACGAAAGTCTGTGCTACTGAGACAGTTGATGACGAAAGTCTGTGCTACTGAGACAGTTGATGACGAAAGTCTGTGCTACTGAGAAAGTTGATAACGAAAGTCTGTGCTACTGAGACAGTTGATAACGAAAGTCTGTGCTACTGAGACAGTTGATAAAGAAAGTCTGTGCTACTGAAACAGTTGATGACGAAAGTCTGTGCTACTGAGACAGTTGATGACGAAAGTCTGTGCTACTGATACAGTTGATGACGAAAGTCTGTGCTACTGAGACAGTTGATGACGAAAGTCTGTGCTACTGAGACAGTTGATGACGCTGAGGTTCGAACGCCAGCCAAGCTGAGTAGAGTTTCACGTGCCAGTTAGGTCTAGTGTGAGGTCTTACCTCAATCCGCCAGTTAGGTCTAGTGTGAGGTCTTACCTCAATCCGATTTTCTCTGGGCTGTGCTGTCTGATTTATGCTCTGATAGCATGCTAAACATAGAGATAAATCAGGGCAGCAATGTTAGACACGGTAGTTTTAAACAGTAATGGTGTATACAGACGGTAGGTAACTACATACATTCAGTGGCTCATGTAACACAACTATAAAGACACTGGGGGCGTTAAACGTTCTATAGGAACTAGACCTGGCTAGACAAGATTATAATACCATGTACCGAGTAGCGTCATATAGTAAAGGTTGCATACATCATAAAACACGAGGTAACATCAACGAGGGTGGGGATGGGGGGTCACACCATATCATAGGTTTAGTACATCATTGGCGGAGGGGTGACGCCCCAAGATAGCCGACTCAGTGACGCCACTAAGATTCCAATAAAATGTAACCCATATCTTTAGGATCAACAAGGCAAGCAGACTTTGGTTGAAGATTCCCTCCATTTCTGTATGCGCAGACGGACAAGTATTTTTTGGAAGTTTAGATGGTTGTTAGTTCAAGGAAAATGATACGCATAGACAGCTGTTGTTCTTTGCATCCGCTAGTCTAGTGAGATACTACGGCCTGTATGTCTGGAGACCTCATGCTTCTAGTTTATGTGTATTGTGTTTTGGTATCAAGTCTCAAGATTTTGGTACAATTTGAAACAATTGAACACCAAAGTATATGTTCATAATTTAATATCACTGAAAAACATTTTTAAAAGTATGTACAAAGAATACATATGTTTACAAGTGTACGCTGTTAAGTACGAATTGAATTATCACAATTTGCGTGAACAAATTAAAACACACATTGAAGTAAAAATAGAATTTATACATTTAAAAAACAATGCACATATGTGCTTAGATCAACAAAGTCTGAATTGACTGAATTAAATAGGAAGATAACATACGATATGTCAAATAACATTCAAGTACAGTGTCGCATGTGTATGTGTTTAAAATGGTAACAAAATGACATAATCTGTAGCCTATACATGCTCTGATGTAGCCGCATCGTGCTACCACTAATGTCCTGTAGCCACATTAGACCCGACCCCACATCCCGTGTCCCTGTTTACAAACCTCCGTCAAGCAGGGATCTCTGTAATGGAACTGTCAGGCAAGGCTTTCAAACTCTGGAATGATGCATTATGTCTTACCGTTGAGCATTGACCAAGCATGACATCACCCTGACATTAAACTGATGAAACTTGAAATAAAAGCTTTGAAATCAACTGATAAATGCCAGCTCAAACTTGTCATCCGCAGTTCCTCCTCTTGAAACATTTCTGTAATATCGCGTTCTTACATTCTCATCTATTAATGAATGGAAGTTCTGAGATGAGATGATAAAAAGATTCCAGTTTTTCTACGAGCGGCTGGCCATTTATTAACAACTAAAATAGAAGGGCAGAGGAGAAGCTTTGCTGGGATAGGATGGAGATGAGTGAGTGAAATACATTCACACAACTTATTGACACCGGTAGATCCACAAGATTAAGGTTTAAATAAATAGCAGATTAGTTGTTTCTTTTAACACTTGAGCGATGATATAAATACGTTTGGATGAAGCTTTAGTGGGCGTTGAACTCCTTCACTAGTTTAGCCAGTTCTTGCATTGCCTCGTAGATTCCCTCTCCGTTTATTGCGCATGCGCCTTGCACGTACCACTTCCTGTCGCGAACATTCTTTAGCTTGAGTCTGTCAGCGACCTCGGTCGTGGCCAGGGCGCCGGGCATGTCTTGTTTGTTGGCCACCACGACCACCGGCACGCGGGCCATCTCGGGGGACTCGATGATGTCAAACAGCTCCTTACTGGCCTCGGCCATCCGGGCCACGTCAGAGCTGTCCACGATAAACAGCAGGCCCTGTTGAGTGGGGAACATGGTGGTGAGTGGGGAACATGGTGGTGAGTGGGGAACATAGTGGTGAGTGGGGGAACATGGTGGTGAGTGGGGGAACATAGTGGTGAGTGGGAGAACATAGTGGTGAGTGGGGAACATGGTGGTTAATTCATGATTAAAAATTGATAAAAATTTTGAATATATATATTTTTAATTTTCTTTTTTGGACATATATTTTTTTTAAAATCAATTCTAAAACTTGTAAACACTGAACTGTTTGGTGATTGAAATAGTTGTGATTTTTATAGGATGTGTAATAGTTCCTTCATAATCGTGTAATATAACCTGTGTATTAGTATTATGTGATGTAATATTATTCGTGTATTGGTGTAATAGAACAGGCATGGTGGTCCATGTAAGTTTACCTGTGTATTGGTGTAATAAGTTTACCTGTGTATTGGTGTAGTAAGTTTACCTGTGTATTGGTGTAGTAATTTTACCTGTGTATTGGTGTAGTAAGTTTACCTGTGTATTGGTGTAGTAAGTTTACCTGTGTATTGGTGTAATAATTTTACCTGTGTATTGGTGTAGTAAGTTTACCTGTGTATTGGTGTAGTAAGTTTACCTGTGTATTGGTGTAGTAGTGCCTCCACAGTGCTCGAATCTTCTCCTGACCGCCAACATCCCAGACCGTGAAACTGACACCTTTGACAGGTGTGACCGTCTCAACGTTAAATCCAATGGTTGGGATCGTGCACACGTTTTCATTCAACTTCACCTGAAACAAACACAGGTGGTGTGCAGATATTGCATAGATTCATTTATAAATTCATTACTTTTTAAATTAATTATTCATGTATTTATTATCTATTTTTATTAATTATTTATAATGTATTGATTGATAATTATTTATTTAAAAGTTGTCTTATTATTTTTCAATTTACAATTTATAAAGATGAAATTAATTTTTTTTTTTAAATATTACATTTTTTAAAATCTCACCGCTCTACACACCAGACCCAAATAAGTCTCCCCCCCCCCCCCTCCACACACCCCGTATTTCCTACCGACGATACAAACGCGAGTTACCTTGTATAAAATGGTTGTCTTTCCTGCCGCATCCAACCCTAACATAAGCACACGGGCGGGTTGACCACCCATCTGGAAACTCTCCAACACTTGAGCAAGTTTGGCCAGCAGAAGTCCCATTGTATCGAGTTGAGTTGACGAAATCTAATTTTTGATAATCCGACTGACGCTGTGTTTGGTGCGACCTCCTCTTGTTGATAGCTGCTGTATAGCATGAGGCTAGAAAGTCCTCATATTTATACCAAACGTTAGACTAAAGATCTGATCTGGCGTCTAGTGATGATCGCTTAAACAGCTAGCCATTTCCAACGGTACGTCTCCAACGTGGAGTTACTATAAATAGTTAGCGTGACGTCCTACTTACATTGTGGGAGTTTGGCCTAGTTTTCATTTTAGGAACTGAGGTATTTTCTATAAATAAAACGGGAATGTCCGATATAATGTGGCGCATAAAAAGAGAATGTTGTGAAGAGGACCATTTGTATTTTCTATGAATATATGAATAAATAAATAAATAAATTATATATATATATATATATATATATATATATATATATATATATATATATATATATATATATATATATATATATATATATATATAATTATTTTTATAAGCATATGTAAGTAAAGTTTCCCTTTCAAACCTGACGGTCTATCGGGCAAGTGAAGTAGAGTTCACTTATTTCTGTGACCTCGGCATATGAAGAGATAGTGTGTTCAGCACTATGCCCAGCCGCCTTTACTAATTACTTTCCCTAACGTAAGTTAGGTGGACTCAGGGACGGTCTACTGACTTGAACCCGGATTCGAACTCTAGACGGGTAAACATGTATAAACTTGAAACAGTTAAAGCTATGACAATTGATCAGACACCTCTAACAGCTTTGTTTGTAAGAGTTGAATAATCGCAGGGTTTGATCACATTTTTACTTTCTCGTATATGAAGTATAAAGGAAGTATTGTAATTGTGCAAAAATTCGAAAGCGAGATTTTCACAAATCTCGGAGATTTTCAAAAAACCTTGACGTTTTACACCTCCCTGGGTCGAAATAAACCGGGAGTGATCTCCCCTAAACAATCTCGAATATTCTTATATAACACTACGGAGGTTCGCAACACGGGATATGGACATGATTTTTAATCCATTTAAATTACTTAAACTTTTTAAAATAGAGTAGAATCTCGTAGAAAAAAAGAACTGCGCACCAAGTAAACGCCAAATAAAAAGTGCTTAATAGTGCGGAATATTATTAGTACTTTATAAATTTACATGAGGAATCGGAAATAGCGTAACTTACTACTTGTGGTCAATGGAAATAACTCAAAAATTGGCAGAAGGCAAAAAATTAGATCTTTTGCTTAGATGTGAAAAGCTATAGGCTTTTGAAAAATTGAAAGTAGAATAAGTTCCATTTCCGTTTACCGGAAGTCGCTGAAAAGTTGATATAGAAGTACACATTTTAAATAATACGTATGTATGAAATTTCATCAACCTAGCTTTAACGGTACTCAAGTTTGGGTACCATAACAAGAATACCAAGCCTAAAGTTTAACCCAACATTCGGGTACCATGACAAGAATACCAAGTCTAAAGTTTAACCCAACATTCAGGTACCATGACAAGAATACCAAGCCTAAAGTTAAACCCAAAATTCGGGTACCATGACAAGAATACCAAGTGAACAGTTCAAGTTCTAGCTTATAAAAAAAACCTTTCGCAGACAGGACTAGTGGAGAGAACGGGAGCAAATAGAATAAATCAACAGACCATGCCAGTGGCCGACTAGTGCTTGGCTGGCTGGCATTTGACGGAAAGATCGAGAGAACTTTACTGGAGTGTTCGCAAACATTTATAGTTTGGTAGACCTGAAGCGTATGCTTGTCTCTATTCAGTGGGCCAGTGATATAAGAAACTTGATGGGAAAACAACTGTTTCAATAGGACAATTATTTTTTAAGAACATCACAACAACTTGAACATTATAAAAACGACATAACCATTAGTCTCACAAAAACCATCACAAACACACAATGACACTCGCATAAACGTCACAAAAACATAAATATTACAGCTTCATCATACAAATAAACATCACAAAAACATAAATATTGCATTACCAAACCAACATAAATATCAGAGAAACATACAGCTACACACACATAAACATCTCATTCTAAGGGACACGACCACTTCATTAACAACACCACAGTCGTATACTTATGGTAGCTAGCTAGAACACTTGTGTTGGTTAGGTTATAGAACACTTGTGGTGGTTAGGTTATAGAACACTTATGGTGGTTAGGTAATAGAACACTTGTGGTGGTTAGGTTATAGAACACTTGTGGTGGTTAGGTTATAGAACACTTGTGGTGGTTAGGTTATAGAACACTTGTGGTGGTTAGGTTATAGAACACTTATGGTGGTTAGGTTATAGAACACTTGTGGTGGTTAGGTTATAGAACACTTGTGGTGGTTAGGTTATAGAACACTTGTGGTGGTTAGGTTATAGAACACTTGTGGTGGTTAGGTTATAGAACACTTGTGGTGGTTAGGTTATAGAACACTTGTGGTGGTTAGGTTATAGAACACTTGTGGTGGTTAGGTTATAGAACACTTGTGGTGGTTAGGTTATAGAACACTTGTGGTGGTTAGGTTATAGAACACTTGTGGTGGTTAGGTTATAGAACACGTGTGGTGGTTAGGTTATAGAACACGTGTGGTGGTTAGGTTATAGAACACTTGTGGTGGTTAGGTTATAGAACACTTGTGGTGGTTAGGTTATAGAACACTTGTGGTGGTTAGGTTATAGAACACTTGTGGTGGTTAGGTTATAGAACACTTGTGGTGGTTAGGTTATAGAACACTTGTGGTGGTTAGGTTATAGAACACGTGTGGTGGTTAGGTTATAGAACACTTGTGGTGGTTAGGTTATAGAACACTTGTGGTGGTTAGGTTATAGAACACTTGTGGTGGTTAGGTTATAGAACACTATTTGTATGTTAAAGTTGTATGAAAAACATCATTCTTTCTTGACTCTTTGAACATGTTTCCACATAACTGTTCGTGTTTGCTGGTAGAATTTTTTTATACGTTTGATAACGTATGTACCAATGCAAACATTTTATCTTATAAAGCTCCATTGGTGTTTGATAAATAACATGATAGGTCACCTGCGTGATGGATATAGAACAGGCACATGTAGGAAGTGAAATAATACTGGTTCAAGCACACAAAAAAGGAAAAACATACCTTTATAAAGAACTAGTAACATACCGTCACAAAAAATCATGAAAATATTAGCAGCATATATTTAAAAAAATAAAATCGAAAATAAAACTGTCAAAATTTGTCTTCAAATTCGACAACTCCAGTGGAAGTATTTGTATGATATGTTTCGTGTATGATAATTTTCTTTTTTAAACATTTTTAAAATGGTTTTATTCTTAAAACAATACGACAGCGCTATTGTGGCAGATAAAAGATAGCAGTTTTTTTTTTATATTTATTACAAGTTAAGAGAAACGAAGAGGAAAAATCGTGAAAAATATTTTTTGTGTTGTAATATTTCCTGTAGCAAGATGAAAGAGTGACGAGATAATGTCTCTCTCTTTCAAGCTGACATTCTGTGACACGGGGCTTCTTTTGAGGGCACAATCTGATGTACAGGCTGATATTACACAGCCCCTAATATGATCTAAACATTAGCATTACACAGCCCCTAATATTATCTAAACATTAGCATTACACAGCCCCTAATATGATCTAAACATTAGCATTACACAGCCCCTAATATGATCTAAACATTAGCATTACACAGCCCTTATCCGATCTAAACATTAGCATTACACAGCCCCTAATATGATCTAAACATTAGCATTACACAGCCCCTAATATGATCTAATTAGCATTACACAGCCCCTAATCTGATCTAAACATTAGCGTTACACAGCCCCTAATATTATCTAAACATTAGCATTACACAGCCCCTAATCTGATCTAAACATTAGCGTTACACAGCCCCTAATATGATCTAAACATTAGCATTACACAGCCCCTAATATGATCTAAACATAAGAATTACACAGCCCCTAATCTGATCTAAACATTAGCGTTACACAGCCCCTAATATTATCTAAACATTAGTATTACACAGCGCCTAATATGATCTAAACATTAGCATTACACAGCCCCTAATATGATCTAAACATTAGCATTACACAGCCCCTAATATGATCTAATTAGCATTACACAGCCCCTAATCTGATCTAAACATTAGCGTTACACAGCCCCTAATATTATCTAAACATTAGCATTACACAGCCCCTAATCTGATCTAAACATTTGCGTTACACAGCCCCTAATATGATCTAAACATTAGCATTACACAGCCCCTAATATGATCTAAACATTAGCATTACACAGCCCCTAATATGATCTAAACATTAGCATTACACAGCCCCTAATCCGATCCAAATATTAGCATTACACAGCCCTTATCCGATCTAAACATTAGCATTACACAGCCCCTAATATGATCTAAACATTAGCATTACACAGCCCCTAATATGATCTAAACATTAGCATTACACAGCCCCTAATCTGATCTAAACATTAGCGTTACACAGCCCCTAATATTATCTAAACATTAGCATTACACAGCCCCTAATATGATCTAAACATTAGCATTAAACAGCCCCTAGTATGATCTAAACATTAGCATTACATAGCCCCTAATATGATCTAAACATTAGCATTACACAGCCCCTAATCCGATCTAAACATTAGCATTACACAGCCCCTAATATGATCTAAACATTAGCATTACACAGCCTCTAATATGATCTAAACATTAGCATTACACAGCCCCTAATATGATCTAATCATTAGCATTACACAGCCCCTAGTATGATCTAAACATTAGCATTACACAGCCCCTAATATGATCTAAACATTAGCATTACACAGCCCCTAATATTATCTAAACATTAGCATTACACAGCCCCTAATCTGATCTAAACATTAGCGTTACATAGCCCCTAATATGATCTAAACATTAGCATTACACAGCCCCTAATCTGATCTAAACATTAGCATTACACAGCCCCTAATATGATCTAAACATTAGCATTACACAGCCCCTAATCCGATCTAAACATTAGCATTACACAGCCCATAATATGATCTAAACATTAGCATTACACAGCCCCTAATATGATCTAATCATTAGCATTACACAGCCCCTAGTATGATCTAAACATTAGCATTACACAGCCCCTAATATGATCTAAACATTAGCATTACACAG